CCTGTTTCAGAGTCTGTATCTCCCTCTCTCTCTGACTCTCCCCTGGTCACGCTGTCTCTCTCTCTCTCCTAGAAATAAATTAAAAAAAAAATATTTAAAAAAAAAACCATCAGATCACTAGTGTTCTGTATTTATCATCCAAATACATACACGTGTCGTATACCTTAAAACAGGTGATTGTGATATCTTTGTGTGCAAGCTGTTCTGTTTAAATTAAAGTTTACTATCTAGACGGTCTTGTGTTTAGCTTTGGATTGCTAAAGAAAAAGCATATGATAATATTCTTTTTGTCCATTATCTGTATGGACGTCGCTCCTTTTAGGCCACATGTAGCAGCTCATTGTCTATTCTGCAACGTGGCATAACGTTTCCTGATGCACAGAAATAGTACTACTAACTTGAAGGCTGGCCTTTTTAATCTTGTAGTGACATGTGGTCAGTGCCTGCGTCCTCACCGACAGTGCGACAGCCTCTCATCCTGATACTATAGGCCTTTTTACACAGCACGTTGAGAACTGCGCCGTAAAGTATGATTTACTGTGCACTGATTTATTCAGTAGCTATCTCAGGACCATCAGCGCGCAAGACATTTTGGCTTGGTGAGCAACGCAGACTTTCGGGGTCTAATCTGCTGGTTTCTTCAGATGCTTGTGAGGTAGTGTGTGCTCTGGGTGCCCTCGAACTTTCACCTTGCCAGGTGAACTTCCAGGGGACTTACTTAGATCCCTTAAGTCCGTACAGTGAGAGGCTCTCGCATACAGCTAGCCGGCATGTAGCCAGTTCGTTGCCTCACGTCGGCAGAAGGGTGGGGGGTGGAGGGTCAGCGGGTAGACTCTGGCACCCAGCACACAGCCTCTTGTGGGGCCTGGGGCTCCGCGGGAAGTATCTGCTCGTGTGACAGAGAGAAGTGTCCGTGAGGCCCGGGCAGCTGAACGCATGCGTAGGAGATGCAGGAGTCTTGTACTAACACGGTTCCAGGACTTCAGAGAAGTTAATAAGTGATGGACCACTCACTGGCTCTTAAGAAAGATGAGGATATGGTGTAATCCTTAAAATTTTAAACTTTGTATGTTGGAAAAATTCAAGTAAATACCAAACAAGAGAGAGGTCACATAGCTCTTTAAGGGAAAGACTTTGAAACATTGGGCACGGAGAGTGAGTCAGCCCTGCCCGGCCTGGATGCCAGCTTACGCTTCGGCTGGAAGGCCTGTGGAGAAGCTCACAGACCAGCAGCTTAAATGTTTATGTGGATCATAGTCTTGCAAAATGGCCTGCCTTTCCCACACTGCTACCGTATCATTCGGGGACATTACTCTGCAAGGTTGGCGTGACTCTCGGCTGGCACTGACCGTGCACTTGATAAGAGGCACCGGGTCACAGAGCGTCGGGGGCGCCCATCCGGCTCGGCCGTCTGCAGCCTTAGCTGGACAGCCATCAGCCCAGGAGCCCTTCAGATACACTGCGTCTGGGTCCCGGCTGCACGGAGCCCAGTTGGGTGGTTCTGGAGTAAAGCCCAGGATGGCTCAGATTAGAGCTCTCCGCAGGTGACAGGTGCGGGAGCCGCGTGTCCCTGCCTGGCCCGGGCAGGTGCAGGAGAATGGTCCTCAGGAGAAAGCCTGCGCGTTTTCAGCAGAAGCACGACGTGGGCTGCTCGTTTGTAGAGGACGCCACCCCCCACCCCCCACCTCCGGGCCGACACAGTTTCCTTCTGTCCCTGGGTGGTTGCGGGTTTTCCTGCGTGCCCCACACGCTCCTGGCTGCCCAGTGTCCGGGCAACCGGCCCTGCGCTCCTGGGGCGGGCGCCGCCCGGGCCTGGCACGCGGTCCTGCCGTCTTGGGACGTTCTGTCTGCTGGCGTCTGGGTGGGGCCCTTGACATACGCGTGTGGGCTCTTCTTTTGCAGCGTTCTTCTCTTTTGGTGCCTGCTTTTCTCTGCGGGTCATGCCAGCCTCCGAGGAGGAGCCGGAAGGTTCTTTGTCCTCTGTCTTCTGGAAGAGGCCTTGTAATTGGCTGCCTTCGTCCTGCCGCAGTGATGTGGCGCACCGGTGAGTCCGGTGGGCTTCCCTCTGAGGTTTTCCGTTGCCAGTTCAGGGTCGCCCCAGATTTTCAGCTCTTTCTTCTGGAATCGGCGCTGGTGTTCTACATTTTTCATGCCATCTGCCCATCTCACCTCAGTGGTCTCGCTGGGTGTAAAGTTGTTCATGATGTCCCTTTTCGTTTCGGCAGGGCCAGTGAGATGAGTGGCTCTCTGATTGTGGAGGTTGATCGTTTGTGCCCTCTCTCTCCTTTTCTTGACGAGTTTCCTGATCAAGGTCATCAGTTTCGTTGATCTCAAAAATGCAACTTTTGGTTTCATTGATTTTTCTCCATTGTTTTTCTTTTTCTTGTGCCATTGCTTTTTGCTGTGATCTTATCATTTCCTCCTTGTATTTTGAGCTTGATTTCCTTTTTTCCTCTAGCTTTTTGAGATAAAAGCTCAGGTTATTGATTTCAGATTTCTTTTCCTCTCTGACATAACTGCTGTAGTTGATTCTCCTAGATTTTGATATACTGTATTATTTGTTCAGTTCAGAATTTTTTTGACCAGTTTTTTATTCCTGTTTCATTTCTTAGCCCAGCTTCCTAGGGCTCAACCCTGTCGCTGCATAGCCGTCACTCAGGAGGAGGTTGGCCAGTGGTCCAGGAGTAGGGGCGGTGCTTGCCTGACCCCATCCTTCCTGCCCCCCCCTCAGGCCCCCGGTGCCTTCGGAGCACACTGACCCAGGCTTTCAGGAGCCCTTGTGGTTCCAGGATCTCATTACATTTCTCCGATTACTGGCTGGTCTGCTGTTGTTCCAGAAGGGACTGGGGCTGACAGATTGGTGGGTGTGCCCCACTCCCTTCCCCCCCAGGCTTCCTGACAGCGCCACTGTGGCTCCCGGGCCTGCAGGCCGCACCGGGTCTGCCCCGCGGGTCAGTGGGGAGCCCCATCACCGAGCGCAGACCTGGTCTCGGGACCAGGTGCTGCTCTGTCCTGTTTCACTTTTGTCGATGCCGGTGACCTGAGGTGCTTACTCTGGGCGGTTCTGTCCAGTTACAGAATGTGTTTTGGGGAAGGAGATGGGCCAGCGTCTTCCTGCCGCGGAAGCCAGAAGCCCTGCTACATGGGACATTTCTCATCTCTTCTTTCCTGGGACCTGATTGCCTTGGGCAGTTTTTACAGAACTCTCATCTACACCTGTCTGGCCCCAGCCCCTATCCCTACAATCTATTCCACTCAGCTGTCCCTAAAAGATAAGTTTAAAATTCTTTAAAAGTGTATTTATTTTGAGAGAGAGGGACAGCATGAGTGGAGGAAGAGCAGAGAGAGAGAGAGAGAGAGAGAGAGAGAGAGAAAGAATCCTAAGCGTGTTCTGCGCCAGCAGCACAGAGCCCAACAGAGAGAGAGAGAGAGAGAGAAAGAATCCTAAGCGTGTTCTGCGCCAGCAGCACAGAGCCCAACGTGGGGCTCAAACCCATGAAACAGTGAGATCATGACCTGAGCTGAAACCAGGAGTCAGATGCCTACCTGACTGAGCCACTCAGGCGCCCCCAAAGAGAAGTTTGGGGGGAGGGAGGGACACATATAACACAGGGGCTGCAGCTGAGTTCGCTTCTCCAGTTCCTTCTGGAAGCACTGGGGGCTGAGCAGTCTGGGGGCAGGTCCACTGACCACAGACCGCTGCGCTCCCGTTCATGTGAGCCGTAGAGCCTCGTGCTGATGGAAGCGCGAGGTCTGCTTTTCACAGTCGAGCGTCCATTTCTGCTAAGATTACGTCATTGAGCAGCTCAAGATGGGGGTCTCTTGCCATCCACACTTTCCCTCGTGACGCGGCCCTCGATACTGAGAGCAGCGGACAGGCACCATCGGAGGTGTTTCTATGCTGCCCGGGGGTATCCCGAACATAAACACCGCAGCTTAAATGTGTTAGATGGCAAATACTCAACTGAGACCATTTTAAGGATCTCACGGGCTTTGTTAAGCACCTCGTGAGGTGGGCATTGCCTCATCCAGCAGGCAGAGGGGCCCCTGGGAGATGCACAGACGGAGATTTTCTTAGAAGGGGGCTGGGGCAAGAGTGTTACTGCTCTCAGAGGCTGCTGGCTCTCCCTTCGGGGTCTCACCGTGCAGGTGACCTCACCTTCTTCTGGGGGAGAGGGCCCCCTGTGGCCTGCCCTTTAGCCCCGATGGAAAACTTCCTGATGGACCAGTGAAGACTACATTTGTCAGGGCGGCCAAAACTGCAGTTCGATTAGGGAGTGAGCCCTGGTTTGGGAGCTCGGTGTGAGTGACACCATTTTGGGTCTGTGGTTTTCTTTTTAACAAACAGCACCATTTTTAAAGTCAAGAAATGAGGGAACATTAGTAAAACTGAAAAGGTTAGATTCTGGTCCTTGTGAAGCTCTTACTAGGGCCACCGGTCCCTCCTGTGTGCGAGGCCGGGGGAGGCCCTTGGTGTCCCAGCGGGGAGTGTCCGGATGGGGAAGGGTCGGGGGAGGGAGAGGCCCCGGGCACCTCCCAATGCTGAGTCCCCAGCGCCCACAGCCAGTGAGGTACGTCCCAAGGACGGGGGACGGTCCACTTGCCTTAGGTCTGAGGACAGGGCAAGAGTGTAAAACCACTGCCTGTGCAAACCCAGCGTGTTGTGACAAGACACCCCTGGAAATGGTACGTGCGTGTCGAATATGAAGTACTTTTTGAGCTAAGCACTGTTGCACTGAACCAAGCCTCACATGCCTTAATCACAGACCTCGTGTGTGTATACAGTAATTAAAGACCTTCGTGTTATAAATTTCAAAACTGTGATTAAAACCCAAACACTGTCAAATGAGAAGTCTGCTGAGTGGCCCTAGTGAAACGACATGTTGGGTTTTCCGCCTGTCTGAAATGGTGCGGTGCTCCGTGCTGGTCGAGGCGGACCCACCGCTGCCGGGGAGGCCTCCTGGCCACACACGTACTGACCAGCCGCTGCCTTGTTTCAGCAGGGAGGAGAGAGCGACGGCTTTTTTCACCCCGAGGGCCAGCCCCAGCGGCTCCCGCAGCCCCCGGAAGCCCGACAGCTGCCCGCCCGCAAGGTGACGCTGACCAAAGGGGCGCCGCAGCAGCCCCTGCACCCGCCGGTGGGGGCCCACGTGCACCCGGCCGGCCCCCCAGGCATCAAGAGCATCCAGGGAGTCCATCCGGCCAAGAAGGTACTGCCTGTGACCTAGGCCGCGCTGCGGCAGCACGGCCACCCCACGGGAGGGCTCCGATAAATTCATAAGTGAACCGTAATTCCCTGTGCTCTGGCTTCAAAAACTCATGTGTTCACAAAAGGACTTCTCCTCGGGTGATGCTTTAATGGGACAACTCGAGGAGAGGCCGCGTACCTGAGGTTGTGGTGGTTTTCGGCGGCTCCGACCCCGTGTCCGCAGACCCCAGTCCGACTCGGTTCCTTCCCTGTTCAGCGCGCTCTCCCTGCTCTGCCGCCCGAGAGCCAGACGTCCCCCTTAGCCCGTGCGCGGGTGGGAGAGCCGGGTCCCTGCGGAAGGCGGCCCTGACTGGTTCTGACTCCAGTTTTGGACAAATGAGGGTATCTGTCACACCTCCCAGGGGAGGTGAATGTTCTTTTGCACACCGAATCTAGAACCCTCCCTGGAGAAGAGTGTCTGCTCGTCCCGTCCTGTTTCCGGGGTGAGGTGCCTTTTCCTCAGCTTCCCCAGAGCCTGGCAGTACAGTCCCCTCTCTCCTTCCTCTTGGTGCATAAGCCAGAGGCCCCTAGTATGATGAAGTTACGTACGGGAGGAAGCAGGGAAGCAACACTTGCTTGGAGTTTCTTCTAGAAAGTTCCGGAGTCCACTAGCTCATCCTAGGTGTCCAGCTGCTGACCCAGGTAGTAATAGAGTCAGTATGCAGGCTGCTCTGGGTCTGTTACCCTGTCTGTATTATCTCGTAAGCACTTTATGATGTAGGAGCAAATAAAATTACCCGCTTCTTGCAACAGAAGACGTGTGCAGACATTAAGTCTTATCTTTGGTCTTTGAAGGTTGCTCCAGTCTAAACTGGCTTTGGTCAGGTGCCGTCCCTGGGGGCAGGAGGAGAGGGGCCTCAGAGGCCCCGTCCCCCGTGTAGTCGTGCGCACGAGTAAGCCCTCGAGTCTCTTTGTCCGAAACCCCCGTCTGTTCTTCCGTGGAGCGAGCACACTAGTGTTTCCCCGCTCACTCGGGCTCTTGGGTGGGTTTCATCAGAGGTGCATCTAAAAAGCCTGGTGCCTGGCGTGTCAGCAGGCGTTTGGTAAAGGTATTTTATTAACGTCATGGTTTATTACTTTATGAATGTTTGTTTATTTTGAGAGAGCGTACAGGGACGCGCAGGTGGGGGAGCGGCAGAGGGAGAGCGAGCCCGCACAGGGCCGGACTCGGGGCTCCGTATCGCCAGCCGCGAGGTGACGACACGAGCCCGGGTCGGGACTTAGACGCTCAGCGGGCTGAGCTCCCCAGGCGCCCCCAGTGTTGTAACTTCGAGCCGGAACGTAAGGATGCGTGTTTCCTGCTGCTTTGCTGCCAGTTTTCCTTGCAACGTAATTTTTACTTTAATTCCAGTGTAGTTAACACACAGCGTTCCATGGGCTTCAGCGTACGAGATAGTGCTCAGCAGCCTTCCCTTACTCTGTGCACGTCATCTTAAGTGTGCTCTTAATCCCCTTCCCCTGCTTCGCCCTTCCCCACCCCCCTACCCCCTGGCATCCACCATTGTGTTCTCCACAGCTAGGAGTTTGGGGGTGTTTTGTCTCTTTTTCTGTTTTGATTTGTTTCTTAAACTCCATGTATGAATGAAATCACACGGTGTGGTCTTTCTTCGACTTCCTTCACTTCTCATCAGACTCTCTAGCGCCATCCAGGTCATCGCAGATGACCAGATTTCGTTCCTTTCTCTGGCTGAGTCACATTCCGGCATGTGCGTGCACGCCATGGGTTCTCTGTCCATGTGTGTCCGAGGGCACTCGGGCGGCCGCCGTAGTTCTGTTGTGACCAAGGCCAGTGTAACATCAGGGTGCAGTGCGTGTGTCCCTCTGAATCAGTGTTTGTGTGTTCTTTGGGTGGCCACCCAGTAGTGCTAAACCCTAAGGGAGTTCTTCTTCTAACTTCCCAAGGGCCCTCCGTGCTGCTCTCTGCGGCCGCACCCCCCGCAGCGCCCAAGGCCCCCCTTACCCCATGTCCCTGCCAGCACCTGTTACCTGTGTTGTTGACTTTCTCCATCCTGACAGGTTGAGGTCACATCTCATTGTGGGTTTGATTTGCGTTTCCCTGATGGTGAGTGACGTTGAGTGTCTTTTCCCGCATGTGTTGATCATCTCTGTGTCGCCGTGGAGAAATGTCTGTTCACATCTCCTGCATTATTTTCTGGGTGTTGAGATGTAGCAGTTCCTTCTATTTGGATACTAACCCTTGGGTCTGTTCTGTCATTTGCAAATAGTTTTTTCCCCATCCTGTAGGTGGCCTTTTAGTTTTGTTGATTGTTTCCTTCGCTGTGCATAAAATTTTCATTTTGATGTAATCCCAATAGTATATTTTTGCTTTTGTTTCCCTTGACTCAGGAGACCTATCTAGAAAGATGTTGCTATGGCCGATGCCCGAGAAGTCACTGCCTGTGCTCTCTTGACGGATTTCTATGGTTTCAGGTCTCACATTTAGGTCCTTCATCCATGTGGAGCTTATTGTTGTGTGTGGTGTACGAACATGGCCCAGGTTCATTCTTCTGCACGTCGCTGTCCAGTTTTCCCAGCGCCATTTGTTGAAGAGACTGTCTTTTTCCCGTTGTATTTTCTTTCCTGCTTTGTCAAAGATTAGTTATAATGGTGGGTTTCTTTTGGATTTTCTTCTCTGTCCCATTGATCTGTGCGTCTGTTTTTGTGCCAGTAGTTGAGTGTTTGGATTGCGACAGCTTTATAGTATAACTTGAAATCTGGGATTATGACACCTCCAGCTTTGCCTTTTTCAAGGTTGCTTTGGCTGTTTGAGGGTCTTTTGAGGCTCCATATAAATTTTAGGGTTGCTTGTTCTGGTTCTGTGGCAAGTGCTGTTGGTATCTCCACAGGGATTGCGTTAAATCTGTGGATTACTGGGGGCCGCATTTGTTCTTCCAACCCATGAGCATGGGATGTCTTTCCATTTCTTTGTGTCGTCTTCAGTTTCTTTTATCAGTGTTTTATAGTTTGCAGAGTATGGGTCTCATCTCTTCAGTTAACTTTATTCTTGGGTATTTTATTATTTTGGGTGCAGTTGTAAATGGGATTAATTCCTTAATTTCTCTTTTTGCTGCTTCTCTATTGGTGCACAGAAATACAGCCGATTTCTGGATGTTGATTTCACGTCCCTTGACCTTACTGGACTCATGTATCAGGTCTAGCAGTTTTTGGTGGAGTCTTGTGGGTTTTCTGTACACAGTGTCCTGTCGTCCGCAGAGAGTGGAAGTTTGACTTCTCCTTAACCGATTTGGATGTCTTTTATATCTTCATGTTGTCTGATGGCTGCGGCTAGGACTTCCGTGCTATGTTGAACAAGAGTGGTGAGAGTGGACATCCCTGTCTTGTTTCTGACCTTAGGGAGCGGCTCCTGTCAACCCCCCGTTGGCTGCGATGCGGGCGGTGGGTTTTGACATAAGGCCTTTATCATATTGAGGTCGGCTCTCCCCAAACCTGCTGTGTTGAGGGTTTTGATCGTGAATGGACGCTGTGCTTTGTCAGATGCTTTTTCTGCATCTCTTGAACTGATCCCGTGGCTTCTCTCCTTGCTCTTGTTGATGTGGTTTATGTGCGACTTTTGTGTGTTTTCCAGTGTGACTTCTCTGAAATATGCTTTTGTACTTTTCAGACACTTCACAGGAGGACGTTTGCCACCTTCTGCAGAGTGTTAAGGAATGTGGTTTTGTGTGCACGTCCCTTCCTCCCTGCCCTGCCCTCTGATGGACCAGGGGGTCGTCTTTGTTTCTTGGTACCCAGACTCTAGGACAGAATTTGGGAAGGATGTCTGGTGCTGCTCAGACCCACCCTGACGCTTGCATCTCACGGCTGCCCTGCAGGGGAGGCGCTCTACCTAATCTCTAATTAGAAAACACCAGAGGGGCGCCTGGACGGCTCAGTCGGTTAAGCCTCCGACTTCGGCTCAGGTTGTGATCTCACGGTCCGTGGATTCAAGCCCTGCATCGGGCTCTGTGCTGACAGCTCAGAGCTTGGAGCCTGGAGCCTGCTTTGCATTCTGTGTCTCCCTCTCTTTCTGCCCCTCCCCTGCTCACGCTGTCTCTCTCTTTCTCAAAAATAAACGTTAGAAAAAAGAAAAGAGAGGAGAGAATACCAGAAAGGTCAGCAGTCTCCTTGTATTTAAAAGATCCTGGAATAATGGTTTTGAACCCTTGGCAACTTAAAGACTCGTAAGGTCTGGGCCCTTCTGTAGACTGCTGAGGACGTAACGTGGGTGGGGTGAGCGCGGGGCCATGGCTGTGGCTTGGATTTTTATGGTGTGTGTTGTAAAAGCTCTGTGGACGACTCTGTGGCAGCCGGGAAGCGACCCCTGCCCACCCTCGGCGGCCCCCTGCCACAGAACCCGCCTTTCAGGTTCTCGGGGTGCCACATGTCACAAGGGGGCTCGGGGCATCACGTGGCCTGTGGTGGCACCAGCCCCCACTGGCGTGGCCTGGAGTACGCTGGGGAACTGCGGGCCTGGGGCCCTCACGACCCGGCCCAGGGAAGTTGCTCAGCTCTGGTCCCGCTGCGTCATCTCCAGCAGCGTGGCTCCACCAGGAGTGCCCACCTGGGCCACGCCTCCTGACAACACGGAGTCAGGCTTCGAGGCTCCGTCTCCTCCCTTCGCCCCTCCAGGTCCTGGGGGTTCTTTCGGTTAGACGTTGAAGCCCGCGGGTAGTGGATGAGAACTACAGGAAACCCCGCAGCTCGCGGTGTATTTTAGTGGGTTCTGAGTTGTTTTCGCATGCTCACAGTCTCAGTAGCTGTTGAAACAAACTCGAAGCTTAGAAGTCACACAGTTACTCTTGTCGTTGCCAGGTCATCATGCACGGGAGAGGCCGAGGCGTGGCGGGTGCCATGGGCCGGGGACGCCTCATGCCCAACAAGCAGAACTTGCGGGTGGTGGAGTGTAAGCCTCAGCCGTGCGTCGTGTCCGTCGAAGGGCTGTCTTCGTCCACCACTGATGCCCAGCTGAAGAGCCTGCTGACGTCCGTCGGGCCCATCCAGGTGGGTCACCTGCGCCCTCTCCCGCTTTGTGTCCATTGAGAGTCCCTTTGTGTCGGTCACTTGGTGTTAAAATCCTACATTTGAAAAGACAGACATGTATCTTGTCTGCTGTGCACACTCACAATCAGAACCTGTGCCGTAGAGCGTTTGGCAGTTTTCAGGTGCTCAGTCACGGGCTTTATGAAATAATTTTGCTGACTGAACAGATTGCCCTTTGAAACCCTCATGTTGTCCTGATGTTCGCGTATGCTCCAGTAGGTATGTACTTTTTGTTCTGTCACACGCTTTTGTGTGTAGTAACTTAAAAATTTTAAAGCATTTAGCCTTCTTGATCTTAATTTCCAGAAATAGGTCACATGTTAACAGCTGTGAAACTTGTTTTAGATTTCACAAACATGAAATAATGTAGACTGTATTTTGATCTCTTTGTATTTTTTTTTTTACAGTTTATTAAGAGAGAGAGATTGGGGTGGGGGGACAGAGAGAGATGGAGGGAGAGAATCCCAGGCAGGCTCCACGCTGTCAGCACAGAGCCCGGATGTGGGGCTTGAACTCATGAACCATGAGATCATGACCTGAGCCAAGATCAAGAGTCAGATGCTCAACAGACTAAGTCACACGGGTGCCCTGATCTCTTAATTTTAAGATGAGTTGTTTTTAAGTGCTTGAAAGTGCCTGTTCAGCTGGTGCAAATATGTCTCCGGTTCTGCTGTAAACACAGTTCTCCATTCAGATCCCTGATCTCTGCTTCTTCCAGAGTCCTGAAGATAAACCAGCAGGGAAGTGGGGTGACCACGTTTCCCTTGAGCCGAGGGTCACCGGAGCCCTTTCCTACCAGTGCCGCCGCCCCCCCACCCCCACCCCCACCCAGTAGTGAGGCCGTTTGCCTCTCATCGCGCTGACTGAGGGTCAGTGGGTGCGAGGCAGAAATCAGTGTGGAGCCATTGCTAAGCCGCCTAACCGTGTCTTAGCCATCCTGAAAATGGAGTTGTGTATTATGCAGTTGGGGCTTCTAGTCTTTTTTTTTTTTTTAATTTTTTTAAATTTTTAATGTTTTATTTATTTCTGAGAGAGAGAGAGACAGTGTGAGCAGGGGAGGGGCAGAGAGAGATGGAGACGCAGAATCCGAAACAGGCTCCAGGCTCTGAGCTGTCAGCACAGAGCCCGACGCAGGGCTCAAACCCACGAACCATGAGATCATGACCTGAGCTGAAGTCGGATGCTTAACCAGCTGAGCCACCCCGGCGTCCCGGGGCTTCTAGTCTCCTGAATGGCCGTTTTTTCTGTTCTGGAAAGGATTAGAGGTGATTACGTTATGAGTTTGATTGTGGGACGTAAAGCCAGACCAAAACAACGTAGGATTATTTCATGCCTTGTTTTAATTCGCAAGTTAAAGAGGTAGGGAAACGAGAGGGAGCATTCTGGGTTATGTCCGTTAACCCTCTCCGTGGGGTCTCCGGAAGGTGAGGCCCCCCCATGGCCCTGGAAGTCGCTGAGGGCTGGGTTTCGCTCCTTCACCCAGCCCGGGCCTCCGCACCCCCCCCCCCCCCCCCCCCCGGAACAAAGCCCCCTGCTCCCCTCTTGCCCCTCTCCGCCCTGGGGGATGCTTCCAGCGGGAGCCTGGGAGCGCATAGGTGCGTGAAGACACACACAGAAGGTCAAGTCTCTGACATAACCAGCCTCTGCTGGTGTGGGGTAGCTAAAGAACGATACTGATAAGTATACATTTTAAAAAGATGTTTGTAACAAGACCTGGATATGGTTTAAACTTGGGCCTGATGGTGCTGGGTAACCCCCGCCTTCCGCTGGCTCTGCTGGAGAAGCCTCCGTGTGCGGTGGACTGTGGCGCCACCTGGTGCCCGCTTGGTGTAATGGCAGGCGGTGGTGTCTAGGGTCCCTGTTCCTCTGGACCTTTAACACAGAGCCCCTGTGACCTCTGCTGCTTGGGCTGCGGAGTCGGAGAGGCTCCTCAGTGCGGCTCTGGGTGAGCAGGTTATTCCCTTAAACTGCACTCACACGGCTTGCTGGAAAGTCCGTTTTAAAGGCTGTTAGCAACTTATTTCCAGAATAAGGAAAAAGGTGCAGACCTTTTGGAAGCGGTCCAGCCAGAAGGCCGCGGTGGCTGGGAGCACAGCAGCGTGTCCCAGGGCCTCGGGGGAGGCAGCATGTGGCGGCCGCAGTGCTAGTGCTTGTGCTCAGCCACCGAAGGGGCCAAGAGAGGCATTGGCCTCGGACTCCAGCCCCCCCGGGAGCGAGCCCACTGACCCCCGGGTGCACCTTCCCATGGCCGTGGCCCTGACCTCCTGCTCTGTCCCGAGACACGGAAGCCAAGGCAACTCCTAGACCGGGAGGGAGGTAGTCAGGGCCTCTGCGGCTCTTTTGTGTAATTGTTTTTAGTTCCCCACTTGCTGGGTCGTGCGTGGTGTAAAAGCAAAAAACCAGCTTCCTTACAAAAGACGTGATGTTTGAGATCATTCAGTGTGACTGTCCCCTGTTGTGACCCTCCCAGAGGTGAGGACGGCAGGTGCTGGCTCGTGCCCGTGTGTACCCAGTACCCCGCCCTCACTCCCGCGTCCCGGTGGTGCTGAGCTGGGGCCAGAGCGGGAGCGCGAGCCGTGGGCGTCCTTCAGGGCGAGCCGGGCCCCCAGCGGCCTCTCTTCTCTGTCCTGAGTCTAGGCCTTTCCGTCGGGCTCTCTGCACCCGTGGCCTTGCACTTCTCTTGGCGCCCCAGCCTGTCCCAGGGAGGAGATGCGTGACCTCCATGTCCCCCACAGGGTGGCCGGTGCAGGAGGTATCTGCCTGCCCCTGGACACTGCACTCCGGGGCAGGGGTGTCGCAGGCGGTGTGGCCCAGCCCCGTGGGCGGTGGGGAGAGCGTGAGCCGCCATGAGGGAGCGTCTGCTCAGACCTACCCGTGAGGCCCGGCTGCAGCCACTGGAGCTGGAGTCTCATGTCAGCGGTTCTGAAGTTCGGGACATCGGGGGAGAAGACACAGTCTGGCCTCGTGATCTAAAGCCATGATGGAAAGACAGTTTATTCGGGGCCCTTGCTCAAGGTCCTGAGAACACCACCGGTGGTGACGCAGTGGGGAAGGGACTTCCAGGATGGCAGTGATGCCCCCTGGGGGCTCTCGGGGGGCCTGCGGGAGGGGAGCTGGCCCCTGCGGGGAGCGGGCATGTGGGACCCGGTGCAGATGGGGGCCCGGGGCTGGGGAAAAGCACAGCCCGGAGCCCGCAGTGGCGGCAGGTGTGGGCGCAAGAGGGTCCTGCGAGGAACCGGTGTCAGGCCCGCCATGTGGCACACGCTTCCGTCATCGCTGCCGTCTGCCCCGCTGCCACCCCGGGCTTTGGGACCTGCCTCCGCAGGGCCACCCCCGGCCGTGTGTCAGGGCTGCGGTGAGGACCGCGGGGACGCACTCCTCGTCACCTGTTCCTAGGGCTGCTCTCAGGCAGCGTCACTGTGTCCAGTTCTTGGCGGCAGGCACTCCCCACAGGTGCTAGGAGCGAGTGTCCCAGAGGCCGGGACGCCGGCACAGGTCTTCGGGGCCACTCGGCGCTTCTGACGTCCCCACGACCTTCTAGTTGATCTGAGCCCGTGGGGGAGGAGGCAGGGCGCTGCGTGACCCGGACAGGCATCCTCCCGGGAGGAGACAGGCCCGGCCCCGGGCGGGGGCGGGGGGGGGGTCGGTGCACGGGCAGCTCCCGGCCCAGGCTCCCTTCTTGCATCTTGCTCCTTAGAGAAGCGCGCTTACTCCCTGTCTCCTCTCTGAAAGTGCGGCGGCCTTGCCCCTCGTGGCCTGGGCTGGGGCCTGGGGAGGGGGAGCTGGGCCCTGGGACCCGCGCAGCTTCGGGCTGTGCTGGGCGCGGTGTGTGCGCGGGACTGTGCAGCTGGCTCGTGCGGGTGCGGGTCCTCGCCGTGGGGCTGCTGAGCGTGAGGCTTCTGGCCTCCGGTGCACAGGGCCCACCCTCTAGTCCCAGTACAGAAGTTCTAGAGCCTTCTACCTAGAAAATATCACTTGATATTTAAAAGAAGATATGAAAGTGTAGATAAAGGACACAGGCAGAAAGGTTTTAGGACTGTGTTCTCGTTACTTGTGTCAACTGCTTGAGAACCAGTCGTTCCCCGTGAGGAATCGCACCGGAAGTTGGTGCTGTCGTCCGGCCCCTCCTCAGACCGAGGTTTAAATGCTGAGGTACCAGGAAGTTCTGCATCAAGTGTTTTACCATTTCATGTGCTAAATGATAAAGATGAAGCTTCATGCCTTTGCGTCATATTGTGGAGAGTCACCCAAAGGAAATCACCCTAGGTGTCTAGAAACATTTTCTTCTCAAAGAAGAAAAGGGCATGGCCTTTTTAAAAAGTCCCGATTCCATGTGTGAGTCGTTACTTGCGATGGCGTCGCACTTAGGGTTTGCTGTCTGCTCCCAGGGAACACTGTTTTCAGGGGAGGTAAATTTAGGGAAGTTGTCGGGACTCTTGCAGTGCCGGCAGCAGCCACCGGGGGCGCCAGGACCGCAGAGCAGGTGTTGGGCTGACTCCGCCCCGCGCCTCGCCCGGAGGCCCCTCCAGCCTCCAGCCTCTGGGTGCAGAGGAGCTCCGGCGAGCCACCAGCGGGCGCTCCTTCCCGGGCGGGGGGCACACAGAACGGGCGCGCAGGGGGCGAGGCTGGTGGCGCGGAAGGGAAAGCGGGCCTCTGTCAGGACTTCGGGAGTCTCCTGGGCTGGGGAGCCGCACTGCCCAGGGCTCTCCAAGGAAGAGGGGTCGACTGCGCTCCCCCCAGACCGGCTGTGGCGCCTGCTGCTGCCGTTGACGGGTCCACAGTGAGCTCATCAAGGCAGTCCTGCTGCCGCTGCCTCCCTGCCCCGGACACAAAGAGCCGTCTCCTTCTTCCGCGCCTGCCACCTGCGCCCCAGCTGGGCCGGGGGTCCCCGCCGCTGGCTGGCTGCCCCTCGGCCGCGTGGTCAGCATGCTCCCCTTCCCGCCGTGTCATTTGGAGACCTGAGGCCTTCTTTGTAAACGCTGGCAGGTGACTTCCGGGGAGGTGGGCTTTCCTCTGAGCTGTCCTGGCTGTGGGGACTGGGAGACGTGCGGTGTGGAAACGAAGGCTGTTCGCTCACTCCGTGTACGGTTTACCGTTTTGAACATTTTGTGTTCCCGCCGTAGATCTTTGACAGATGCTTTACAGTTAAATAGCCACATCCGCCACCACTCCTCAGGGGCCCGTGCCTCTGTCAGCTGTGTTTCCTGGCTGTCCTCCTTCACTAGATGGCCATCTAGACAGGCCGGGTGGCCGCCCCGCTATCAAGTCCTGCTGCGAGCGGGGTCCCGCCGCCGCCGTGTGCACTGTGGGCAGAGGCCGCAGCCTGCACGATGCCCGGAGGCATGTGCAGGGCTGCCTGCTACGCTGCAGGCTTGAGAACGGTTGGGCTCTCCAGAGTGGGACCGGCTGAGAGATCACACAGGCCCCCTCCTCTGACCTGAGCCTCCCAGACCCTCGGATCCTAGACCCCAAGGCCTCAGGGAAAGCTCCGAGCGGGCGTCCTCCTCAGGGCACGCAGGGGGACCCTGTGCCAGTCGGCTCTGTCCGGCGCTTTCTTTTCAGATGAGTAAGAGTCCATCACTTGGTGGATCCTTTCTTTCTGCCTGTGTTCCTCACTAAGTGCTTTGGTTTTCATCACAAAGAGCAGTGGCCTCCGGAATGGTCGCCTTAGCTCCTGAAGATTTCATCTAAGATGTCGCTTGATAATCAACTCTCTAAGTGCAGAATGTGACAAGGCTGTGCCGACAGCTGGCGGCGGCGAGGCTGTCCCTGCCGTAGCTGTGAGGGGTGAGTGCCTCTGCGGTGCACCCCAGGGCTGATCATGGGGCCTGCAAAACAGCTCTTACCCCGTGGGAACACCGGTCCTGAGAAAGTCCAGTGAGAGCCGGTGGGAAGTCGCCCGGCAGGAAGTGTGCAAACAGGGAGGGACTCCAAGAGTGTCTTGCACGCGGCCCCACAGGGAAGGTTGAGGGAGGTTGAGTGGCCTGTGTGGCCGGGTGACGCAGGGTCCGGATGCCGGGCTGGGAATGGCTCTTTGGGATAGATTCTCTGGAGAAGGGAAGAAAAATTGCTGGGGAGGTAGTTTCCTTTAGTGACCCCAGTGTCAGCCTGGCTTCGTACTTTGTGTTGCAGCCGATGTGTAAATATGTTGGGGTTTTTAAAGTGTGTACAACGTGATAATAAAATGTTTCTTGGGCCACTGGGTGGCTCCGTCGGTTGAGTGTCCAACTCTTGATTCCGACTCAGGTCATGATCAGGGCTGTGGGATCGGGCCCCTCATCTGGCTCTGCGCTGAGCGTGGAGTCTGCTCAAGGTTCCCTTTTCCCGTCTGCCCTTCTCCCCCGCTGGTGTGCTCTCTCTCACTCCCTAAAATTGAAAAAAAAATTTCTTTTCATTGTTTCTCTGTTTTCTTCCCTCTAGAGTTTACAGATGCTTCCCCAGCAACGGAAAGCCATAGCGAAGTTCAAGGAACCAGCTCATGCGTTAGCATTTCAGCAGAAATTCCACAGGTAGCCGGCATATTCTGGGCTTGGGGTGGTGTGGAAGCAGGCTGGGAGTGTGGTGTGCAAGACTCCAGCATGGCGGCCCTGGGTTCACACATGGGTGCCCGCGTGCTCTGGCCGGAATGCACCGGCAGTGTGTGCAGAGCGCAGGCGGCGCGTCCTTCTGTAAGGTGGGACCCTGGGTCCTAGGTTGGGTGCTGATCTCTGTCCGCACGTCTGCAGACTTGTCGATGATCGGGTCCTACCGTTCGAGTCGTCCATCCCAGACCCGGGTGAGGTGATGGCCGGCGGTGGGGCTCGGGGACCGCTGACCATCCATCCCCTTTCCGCAGGCACATGATAGATCTGTCCCACATAAACGTGGCCCTGATCGTCGAGTGATCTCTGACAGGAGACGCCGACCCGACACCGCACACTCGCTGTGGGATTTCTTCAGGGAAGCCACGGCGCATGGCCCCGCGAGCACAGGCTTCTCCGCGCACGGCCTTGCGGAACTGTTGTCTGGAGAGCGGCCGGCCCGGCGAGGACTCCAGCAGAGCCGGACTTGGGGACGTGGCGGCCCGGCTTCGGGGTCACACTGCTTCCCGTTCTGTTGTCACCACAGAGAGCTACACTTTCCGTTTTCTTTTGTTTTCAAAGTGCTTACGATGCATGTAGACCTTGTTCGTGATCGTGCTGTGTGACCGATCACAGTGACGTAGGTGCAGGGAGGGACGTTAGCGCCACCAATTCCGAGTAGTTTCCACAGCAAAGAACACTTGATAATGGTTGCACCCATCTTCAGCGCAGGGACCCCGCTGGCTCCTCAGCCCCTGGAAGGCTCTGGGAAGGACGTAGATGACAATTGGGGCGGTGGTGATGACGGCCAGCCACCTGTCCTGGGGAGCAGGCCGGGAGGGTGGGTGCGAGTGATGCCAGCTGCGTGGCGGATTCTGCTTCTTGTAAATAACTCCTAACGCACCGACTGGGTGTTCCTAGTTCCTGAGGGCCCCCCCCCCCCCCCCCCCCGTCTGAACTCCAGTCACATTCCCCCCCTTTGTGTGCCCTTCCCAGGCGAGGCCCCTTGGGCCCCCGGGTGCCGGTACCTCGCAGCCCTTCTGGGGCCCCACCACGCGGGTCACATTGCAGATCTACCACGCGAGGCAGACAGACGCTGCCCGGTGTGCTTTGTTCCGTTCTGTAAACGCGGCCCAGAGTGGCATGTTCGTGTGCCTGGCTCTGTGACATGACATTGTCTGGGGACTCGGTTATCATTGCTCTGAATAACTTTTTTTTTTGAAGGCCTTTTGAGCAGGGCTGCGCTGTCCTTGAGGAGAGCTAGGGGCAAGGTGGCCTTTATGCAGTGAGTCGCCCCTCGTGGGGTGTGAGGGACGGCTGTCCTCCCCAGACCCTGAAGCCCAGAGTGAAATTGGACTGTGTCCGTATGGCCCTGAACCTGCCCGAGGAGTTTTGGGTAGGCTCCTCTCGGTGAGACTCCTGCTTCCCGTAAAGCAGCCTTTACCACAGCTCATTCTGGCCAGGTGTTTACAAAAGTGCCTTACTGCATTTCTGCTCAAGAATGAGTTTCCCTGTTTGGGATTTATTCTGCTGTGGCCCTGAACTATTTGAGCAGGTGGTAGATACTAGGGCATACTCAGACTTTTTAGCTGTATTTTATACCTAAGATCTCACGGCAGGTTTACTAGTAGAATTAGAGGAAGTAGTCTCCTGCCGCCCCGTAATGCCACCAGTCAGCCCTGGGGGGACTAACTGTGAACCCCGGAGCCCCCGCGGCCAGGCACCCCCCCGCCTCTGAGCCTTCTTGTGGGCCTGGGACTCGGGCTGCCTGAGCCTTTGTTGTGTTCGCACAGGTGAAATTTTGTATTTTCTCAACTTAGGTTGCCTGAACTGGCGGGAACGTTCCGAGCATTCTGAGGCTTTCTGTAGCGAGGATTCTAGAGTGGCATCCGCGGCGGGAGCAGGCTTGGGAGAGGAGGGTGGGTGTCGACGGCCGCAGTTCAGGAGGCGTGGCTGTGAGGACGCGCACAGGCCCTCCCAGGGTGCGCAGGAGCCCCCTTGCTGAGGGGCCCGGCCCCTGGTTCAGCCGGGCCAGGCCCGCCTTGGTGCTCCAGGGGAGGGTCCATATAGTCAGTGTCCTGTACCTGCCCTTGGCTGGCGGGCACACACTTCCCGCCTGCTGTGGTCACAAGGAGACACGGATGTGTTCCCCTGTTGAGAGCAGAGTCTGCTGGGCTCAGTCCACACGGAGCTGCGTTGGAGCAGCGAGCAAGCTCACCTGCTGGGTGAGCCCCATCCAGACCGCTTTTCCCCGCCGGACAGTGGGGACTCTCCCTGTTGAGGGGCTTCCTTGACCACCAAGGAGTAACTGATTCGATAAAATAAGTTTAAAAAATTTCTTACCATTTTCTCAACTAGTCTGAGTTGCCGTGGCTTTGAAGTCAAAAGGCTGCATGTTGTCCCTGGAAAGTGGGCACATAGAGGGACTTTTTTTTCCCTAGTTAGTGACGAGGAGTCATCCATCCTACGTGGGCCCCGGTGGCGGCATCAGGGTCCGCTTTTGGTGTTGAGGATGAGGACACGTGTGTGTGTTAACTGCCTGCACACGTCTACGCAGGAGCCATGGGGAGCTGGGCCTTCGTAAATCCCTGGTTAGAAGGGCTCAGGGCCGCTGCACAGTGTTCGTGCCAGCCGGCCCGGGTCAGAGGCCGAGTCTCCTTGAAGGGACCGCGGCAAAGGAAAGAAGCAGAATGAGAAAGTAGCGTTACTTACATTTTCAGTGCGCTTTTCGCAATGAAATCGCCACGTGAGCTGAACCTTCTGGAAGATCTGTTGCAACCATTATCTTTGTTCTTTACTTATCATGCATTTAAAGTGACAGACGCAGGAGCGTTTAACACGCTGTGTAAATACGGACCTTCCAAAACTAAAACGTTAATTGGAAACGCTTTCAATTCAGCAACAATCTTAGCTATTTGTTAGTTCTTTTGTGTTGTCTCATCAAAGTTAAATGGATACAGTTCCATAATTGTTGACGTGTTTGTGTGTATATCCGATTTTTATAAAGATGGTAGTTAAGTCAATACATGTATCCTGACCTGTGTATTATTTGTTCCCAGATTCAGGAACCTTAAAGTCAGTAAATATGAATATATCGCGTAAGGTAAATATAATAGGTGCTTATGTGGAGCCAAGGTACTTTTTTCTTTTTACATTGTCTTGTTTTGATTTTGTGCTGTAATATAAGATCACTTAGCCGCTTATCTGAGCATAACCTTGCATTACCGTTGGTCTGGCCACTTCTGTTAAGTCCTTATACTGATAATTCCGAAGGAGTCCGGTCTCTTTACCAGAAGCACTGTTGAGGGGCCCCCCTTTCTGGATAGGCAGCATCCTACGTAGGTGTGTGTGTCCTTCCCAGCGGGGAGCGGGTGGGGTTGGGGGGGGCTCATCATAACTACTTTTTATTTGAGTCGTTCTTTTCTTGATTTGTAACCGTCCTGGATAAACATTGTTCCCGCCTGGTTCTGTAGCTTTGCTGAATTGTGACAGAGCTTAGATCGTGCACCCAGGGCTCTTTTTCCAAGAGCAGTTTGCTTCATTTGTAAACAGAAGACTGTTGTGGAGATTGGGAGAGGGGTCTGGGGTGGAAGGAGAGGGGTCGGGGGGGCCTGGGACCGGGGTGCGGACGACTTTGCGGAATGAGGGAGCTGGCAGAAGTACTCTCCTGAGCCGCCAACACACCGGCTCTTCTAAGGGGGGTCAGCTGGTCCAGCCGGCCAGCGCCCCAGCCCTCCCCCCACCCCTCCCCGCAAGGGAGCCGCCCCGAGGCGGGGCCGGGCTCAGAGGGGTGGTTTTCAGAGCCTATCACTTCCATTCTTTTTTCCTTTAATTTTCTTTTGGCTTGTTGTGGTTTTTTGTTTTGTTCTGTTTATTTTGCTGTTGTCGTTTTTTAATTTTTTTGTTATTTAATCTAAGGTAAGCTCCACTTGCTCCTAGACACTGGACTGACAGGGACCCTGGCGCGGACAGTTGGGGTTTGGTAGAGGTCTGTGTGCCGAAGGCCCGGAGCACCCTCCTGGGTCCCTGCTCGGTCCCCTAGAGCGCCCAGCGCCCGGCTGTCAAGACACCGTCCCCAGTCGGGCTTGTGTGCCCTCAGCAGATGGCTCTGGGCTCCCTCGCTGTCACACTGGCTTCTCAGAGTCATTTTTAATTTTTCCTCCCTTCCTGCTTATAGGAGTATCTGGCTTCACAGAGTCACCGTTAGACCTAATTTTATCTCCCTGGAGTTAGGTAGAGTGGGGGCCCCCGTCCCCTCTTGTCTATTTGCTGCTGGGGGTGGGGGGCTTGTGAAAGGTAGCCTCGGTCCTTTACAGATTTTTCAGTGACCTTAGTCTAAAAGGGAATATTCCCTGACGGGAGGGGCAGATGGTCGCTGTGGGGCTGGGAGACAGCCCCCCCCGGCCCCCCCTCGCCCCTTCCCCCCCACCAAGAAGGAAGCCCCAGGAGTTCAGATCATTTAGAGGAAAGTGTAGGTATTTTACTGTATTTAATGAGCATTTCGATTAACCTTTTCAACTATTTTTAAACTTGTGAACAGAGTGTTATTTTGGACATTCGTAAATATGAACTCTGCAAAGGCAGTTAGCCTTGATTTACTGCTAAATCCTACGGATTATCGTGTAAGGTTTTTTTGCAACCTATTTAATCTTCCCCGTCGGAAACGCCCATGGTTTTGTGTTTTAGAACCAGAGCGGAACTCGCTGATTCATATTGGATCCCAGGTATACGTCCTTCTGGCAGCGTCCGTTTGGGAAGGTTTCCCACGTTGTAAGCTGCCTTTTCTGGAGAACGTTTTAAAACTCTTAACTCTCACTTTTCTGTGCCGTGATTTTGTAGGAAGTCTTCTCCTTAGGACGGCAGTTAGAACAGGTGTCTTCAGTGAGGACTTGCTTTTCCTTTCTATTTCTAACCAACTAAAATGTAAAAAGATCGTGTTGGTGTTTTGCTGTGTTTATTTTACTCATTTTAAAACACCTAGAAAAACGCAGGCCCTTTAAGAAGAAATAATGTAGCTTTAAGTTTTGAATACATTGCGCAGAGCGGACAGATGTGCTATTTTAATATATTCTGTGTTTAGTGATCTATCTACTCTAGAAAGTAGACCTTGACATTCTTTTAGCATGATTTTCTTTTAAACTGCTTTTTATCTCAAGGGCACCCGTGTGGAGCGGAGTTTTAGAGGTCTGCTTGCGTCCCCTGCACCCCGCACCCCGCAGTGTTTTCTCCGGGCACGCGGTTTCGGCGTCTCCGGCAACAGGCAGCACACGCATCCGCCCTCGACGGAAGAGCAAACGATCGTCTGGGTTTTGTAACTCGTCCTTGCTTTTCACAGGCGTGGGGTCCAGGACTGCTTTTCCTCTGTGAGGACTTCCACTCTCCGTCTTCACCTGTAACTCCACAGCTTGATTTGCAGGTTCCACCGCGGCCGAGCCCGAGACCGCGCACTGAGGGGCGGCCCCGTCCTTCCCTGGCCTCCCTTCCTGGCCCCCGCCCACCCACCCACCACCGCAGGGAGCTCCTCCTTCCTCATTCTGGAAAACCACTGTCTTTGATTCCTCATCTCTGGATGTCCTCACCCTCCCCTCCCCACGCGGCACCCCCCCCCCCCCCCCCCCTTGGCGATGAACTTCTCCTTTGTTGATGGTGCTATATTCTTGCTTCTCTGTCTGGTCTTAACATTTAGATTCCTCCTTGCGGGGGTGGGGGTGCAAGAACTTCGTGAATAGTTTTGCACGGTGTTGAAACTCACTTGCATCACCGCCTTTGCTTTGACAGGTTCTCACTCCTGCTTTGTCCCTGCAGGTCCCTGCTGGAGAGAATAACGTCGCATTCTGTTACTTTGCAGTGCGAGCTGCAGGGGTGCATGGCGGCCCCCACTGCCGGCGTCCGGCGGCACGCGGGAGCGTGCGATTAATCTCCCCTCTGTTTCCACCCCTCTGCTTTTACAGGACTTCTTGTGCATGAGTCAGTGTTAGTTGTAGCGCGCCCATTTTCCCCGCTGGACGTGGCAGCCGGTGGGACCCTATGTCCCGGCTCCGCGGTGATCCTTCCTAACCGTAACGCGCTCGCGCCGCCGCGCCGGGGCCGAGGTGCAGCGTGACGCTGTGTTTGTGGGGAGCGCGGTCAGAGTTCCGAGCCCGACACATGACCGAGTGCTGCCCTGCGGGGTGGCCCGCCTCATGTTTTCCGCCCGGCACCGCCCTTGCGGTCGTGGGAAAGGACGTGGCCCCGCTCCGCCCCATGTGGCACTGTGTGCCGGTCACTGTGGCGCTGTGTCAGGAGCCGGAAGAACGGGTGACGTGGTGGGGAATGTACTGTGTGTGTATCATTGTGTGACTCCGTGCCGGGGCGTGTCGGGAACTGTATTGTAATTCGAAAGATGTGTCAATAAAATACTTGGCAATTTCTGCTCCTGTTCTCCAGCTCTTCCTTACGCCGCGCGCGCGTGGCCCGTCCCGCATCGTGGCCGTGTGGACCCCTCAGGACACTGGGCGGGCAGTAGGGGTGTCCCGGGCCCCCACGGGCGCCCCCTCTGCTCCAGGCGTCAGCTGGGAAACGGGGTCTCGCTGGCGGGCCCGCGGGAAGGCCTGCCCTCCCCCGCCCTCGGCTCTGCCGAGGCCCCCACGCATCAGCAGGAACTGACCACGCGTTTTGCTCCGTTGCAAGTTTGGGGGCGGAGAGGTATTTCCTGTTTACATTTTTCAAAAAATTTTTTAACATTTATTTATTTTTGAGAGAGACAGAGACAGAGCACAAGCAGAGGGGAGGGGCAGAGAGAGAGGGAGACCGAATCGGAAGCAGCCCCGGGCTCTCAGCTGCCAGCACAGAGCCCACCCAGCGTGGGGCTCAAACCCATGAACTTTGTGAGACCATGACCTGAGCCACCCCCCTCTTTTTACAATTTTTAAGGCATTACGAGTAAGTTTTACTTCTTTTCAACTTCTGCACTCTGATGTCAGCCGTCAGCACCGGAGGTGGAGGCTACCCGGGTGCCTGGCCGGCTGGGGGGGCTGCCTTCCTCCCCTGCCGCCGCCGCCCCGGGCTCTGGGCTGACCCGGGGGCCTCCTCTGTGCTCGGGGAACCTGGCCTGAGCCCCCACATCCTTGCAGGAAGCAGAGGTGAGACTCTAGCGCTCCACCCCCCGCCCCGGGCTGCCGTCCAGGGGACCCCTGCCTCCCGCTGGCTGAGCCTGCTCGCTGCCCTCTGCCCACCGTTGCCTCCGTCATTTCCACAGCACGGCCTTCTTTCAAATAGTTTTGTACATGTTTTATTTTAGAGAGAGTGCATGATTGGGGAGGGGGGCGGTGGGGGGGGGAGAGAGAGACAGAGACCTCGATCTCCCAACCCTGCCATCCTGACGTGAGCTGAAATCAAGAGTCAGATGCTCAACCAACCGAACCCCGTGGCGCCCCTACAACAGGGTCCTTCGGAGATGGGGACCCCCCTCCCCTACCCCTTCAGAGCAGCCCAGCCCCAGGCCTCCCGCTGACATTGTCACGGGCAAGGAACAACCCCAGTGGGTGGTCTGTGCGTCTCAGAGCTGCACACTTAGGACCCCAGCCGTCCGTGGCTCGAGGCCGGCGACCCCTCTCCCCGTGCAGGGCCTCCCCCACGGGCCTCCCCCTCCAGCGCCACCTGGCCCCTCTCACCCCAGGCGGGTCTTCCGGTGCCCCTGGTGACCCTGCCTGCCCTCCCTTTCCCTTTCTCCTGGTGCTCACTGGAAAACTCTGACTCCCTCTGATCCTGGGCTCCCATCCCAGGCGGGAGGCCGGAGTCTGCAACACAGGCAACTGTGCGGCCTGGCCGGCTGTGAGCTCCTGATGGCCCCGAGGGCTGCCGGGAAGTCAGCTCCCGTCACTCTCCTGGGGGTGTTTCCTGCCTGCAGCCCACACTGCCCACGGCCACTCCCCAGCTCTTG